TGACTTAAATTCGATTAAATATTAATATAAATTATGAAACAAAATGAAGGGGTTTCACTATTCACCAATGGGTTCACTGGCGTCCATGGATTTGGCGTCACTTGGTTAGGTAGACATGACCACACACACACACACGCACACGCACACGCACACGCACACGCACACACACACACACACACACACACACACCCGACATTCTTAATCTTTATCTGATTAGTTCCCTGATTTAACACATTGAATGCATATTGAGACTTACAAAGTCAACAGCCAGAATGCTGTTGAAATGATCCACCTAGTACTCCATTGAAAGGTGAAAAACTATTTGGGATAGCCACAATCTATTTAGGTACGTCAACGGTTGATTCAGGAATATCACTCAGTCATGAGAATTAGTTAACCATTCGTTAGTTTTATCTCGAACACACGAAAATAGCAATTGTCGACTGATCTTTTATTTTTACCTTCCCACTTGAAGATATTCAGCATAACTACCCCCTAAATATCTGCCCCATATAAAGCAGTGGGTTTGATAATAGAGTTAAATACTAGTAGTTTTTTTTTTAGCCAGACTAACAGAATAACTGATTCATTTTGTACATCTTATCACATTCTCTCTATCGGACTGTGATCTTATATACATTCTGATTGTCTATTTAACAAAACAAACAAGTTGTTGCTAAGTTATCAAATCTTATTTGTTGCCAGGTGATAGTTGCTGCAATCCCCTCAGCATGGGTTCCATTAAAAGCATGATTGAAGATTTGATTCCTGGAGTCTATGTAAAGTCCTTGATGATTGGAGGAAACATTCTCTCGGTAAAATACCATCAATTTACAACACTACACTCTTTGTTCTTGTGGGGCATTCTCTCTTGATTGTCCTATTGTGGAGCATTATTTAGATAATGACTTGCCATGGGGCATTATCTAGATATCAATATACAAAACTTGTGTCAATTTTGAAGGCTGTGATTTCCATATATTTATAGAAAAAGTTATTGTATTAGATGCATCATCGTAACTCCAAGCTCAAAGGCAAACATCTTGTATTTTGTTCCACCAGAATTTGATCTTAAGCTTGAAACACATGTACACATCAATACCTGAGCCAACCATTCTATCACATATTGAAAATAGGAAAAAAGAAACTTAAAATAATTTTATTATCAACTACTGGTAATCCAGATTAGTCTCCAGACATAAAATTTACATATATATAAATAACAAAAATGATATTTACTGAATTTATTTTGTTCCATCTTTAGGATATGATGAATGGATTTCTTATGAATGCTAATGATCAAGTAAAAGATGTCTGCCAACAATTAGCCAACGATCCAAAATTGAAAAATGGATATAATGCTCTAGGATTCTCACAAGGAGGCCAGTTTCTGTGAGTTATTATTTTTTCTATTAACAAAACATTATTTGTTGAATTTTTTTTATTTTTATTTTTATACTACGCACTTAAATTATAAATAAAGTTTTTGTGATTATAAAATCATCCAATTTTATTTCAAAATATTTGTTGAAAAAAAACTAAATGGAAATAAAAAAAAAGTTAATCATCAATTTTAATTAATCCATGACAATAATAAATACCATACCCAGCTTGAAGCTGCATATATGTTTGTCATCTGTCATCTTATGTAACCACATAAATTTTTGAAATATTATGATACCCGTTACCATAGGAACTGATGGTAAATCAGCATTTTCAAGAGTATTTGTGCAAAAGTAATTGATGACCATAATGGGATTTGTGAACAACAGCATAAAATAGAACCTAAAAAATCGATGATCTGTTTTAGTGAGAGGAAACATAAAGGTCAGGGAAGTTTCTTTGAATTCTGAGATTTATTACTAAAATAAATTATTAAATTACATTTTTTGTTCATTTAGTTTTCGCAGATCACATAACATTTATAGTTCTTACTTTTCCTTCCATGTAATAACTAGTTTAGTTGTTGATCTTTTTTTCATTTAGTTTTCGCAGATCACATAACATTTATAGTTCTTACTTTTCCTTCCATGTTATAACTAGTTTAGTTGTTGATCTTTTTTTCAGTCGTGCTGTTGCTCAGCGTTGTCCTAGTCCACCCATGCATAATTTGATTAGCATCGGTGGCCAGCACCAAGGTATGTGTGTATAAACAATCTGAGTCAAACACAATGTACTTATTGGCTCTAATTTCTATTTTTTCAATATTTGTTTCATCTCTTATTTTTGTGTATTTTTTAGCTCCGCTGTCGACTTTGTCGAGCGGAGCTTAACATATGAGTGATTGTCCGTCGTCGTCCGTCATCCGGCGTCCGTGTCAATGTTTTACTTTTTCGACTTCTTCTTGAAAACTACAAGCCTGAATGCTTTGATACTTGGTGTATATGTACTTTGAGTAGACCTCTCTCAGATTTGTTCATTTCAAAATGATATCTTCAATTTACTAATTTTGGTGAATATTTTTGTCATTTTTGGTAAAAAGTGATATTTTCGACTTCTTGTTAAAAACCGCAAGTCCAATTGCTTTGATAATACATATATAGGTACTACATGTGGACCTCTCTCAGATTTGTTCATTTTGTAATGATATCTTTAATTCTCTGATTTTGGTGAATATTTTTGTCATTTTTGGTAAAAAGTGATATTTTCAACTTCTTGTTAAAAACCGCAAGTCCAATTGCTTTGACATTACATATATAGGTACTACATGTGGACCTTTCTCAGATTTGTTCATTTTGTAATGATATCTTTAATTCTCTAATTTTGGTGAGTATTTTTGTAATTTTTGGTAAAAGTGATATTTTCGACTTCTTGTTAAAAACCACAAGTGCAATTGCTTTGATATTACGTATATAGGTACTACATGTGAACCACTCTCAAATTTGTTCATTTTGTAATGATATCGCCAATTCTCTAATTTTGGTGAATATTTTTGTCATTTTTGGTAAAAAGTGATATTTTCTTCTTGTTAAAAACAACAATCATTTATGGTGAAAAATGATATTTTTGAATTCTTGTTGAAAACAGCAAGTCCCATTGCATTGATACTATGCATATTGTTCATTTTCTAATGATATCTTCTGTCTT